CCCCTAAAGGAAAAAAAAAAAAAAAAACACTTGCTCAAAAAAAAAATTGACTCAAAAGAGTCATTCAGGTTTTGGATCTAATAATAGGGAGATCCCAAAAGATGGAGGCTGTAAAGTAGTGGAGGAGGGTCAGGAACGTCTAACATCTTGCAGAGAGGGAAGGCAGCAGAGAGAAAAGACAGAGAAAGGAAAGGCACCACCTTCCGGAACGGTTCTTTCAATTTTCCAGATACTCCAGCCATTCGCCACCACCACCTCCTCATCAATCCTCAAACTTCCTCTCGTGAAGAAAGTACTGGCTCCTGGGCTTCCTCACAGGCCTGGTGACTTTTAGAGGGGGGGGGGAGTGAGCAGAGGATCCGAGGGAGGGGTGGAGTCTTGTCACCCCAGGCTCCTGCATCACGGTCCAGTCATGTGCCTCCCTCTCACTGTGCTGACCCTCAGACAAGCTCGACACTTTCCTTTCACACGGCACAGATTTACTTCCCCTTGGAGGCCAGTTTCTTCCTCCGAAACGCTTCTAAGAATGAATTTTTGTTTTGTTTTGTTTTTCGAGACAGGGTTTCTCTGTGTAGCTTTGCGCCTTTCCTGGAACTCACTTGGTAGCCCAGGCTGGCCTCGAACTCACAGAGATCTGCCTGCCTCTGCCTCCAGAGTGCTGGGACTAAAGGCGTGCGCCACCACGGCCCGGCTCTAAGAATGAATTTTCTCCGCCCTCATCCAAACTCCACGGTGGTTCCAGAGACAGGCCTGGGAAAACAGAGAGCCTGGCTGGGGAGGCAGGGCAGAAAGCCACTGAAGGCTGGCACTGTCTGGTTCTGGCCCGTCCCAGTCAAGAATGAGGTGACTTCAGTACAACACGGGGCATGATGGACCACTAACAGGAGCACATTTAAGCCACCCGTTAATGGCTTCCCAGTGTATTTCACACAAGTAGCTACTGGCAACATGTAAGCATTTCTGGTACATGGATCCAGGCCACATTGCAAGCACCAAATATGAACATAGGCCACAGTCACCTTCACAATCCCATGTCATGGAGTAATCTGGGCCTATAGAGTAATCCTGTCCAGTCAAACCAAAACTGCAATCAGAGAAGCGTCCCCAAGTACCCTTGAGTTCCAGGAACCATGGGAAGAGGTAGGGGAACCCCGAGGTTCGGGCTTCTGGCTACCATTCCTGACTGTCCTTCTCCATCCTACCCCCGCCTCCAGGATCTCCATTGCCCCTGCCCTGCCCCACTACTTTCAGCCTAGGTGTAGTTCGGAGCTCCATGGTGCCCTCCCTAGAGCGGCTGCCCCCTCGGGCCTCCCAAGAGCCCTCGAAGAGCCGAGTAAGGAACCGGGGCCCGGCCCGGGGCAGCAGATCCCCCGCAGTGAAGACGTAGAGCACGGGGTTGACGCTGGAACTGAAGAAAGCCAAGGCTGTCGTTCCAGCGCGCGCCGCCTGGCCCGCCCCGCCAAGCTTGGCCAGGGGCCCTTCGGGCGGAGCGAGCGCAGCCACCGCCTGTAAGACATTGACCGCGTGGTAGGGGGCCCAGAGCAAGCCGAAGGCCAGCACGATGGCGCTCACCAGACGACCCACCCGCGTGCCGTGTCGCCCCGAGCCCCAGCGCGCGCCCCGCAACCGCGCCAGCGTCACGCCGTAGCAGCCGAGGATTGTCCCGAAAGGCAGGACGAAGGCAGTCAGGGTCTCCAGGCTCAGATGAACAGCGGCGTGCACCGCCGACGGGTGGCACAGTTGACACACGCCATCGCCCCAGAGGTGGCGGTAGACGGCGGCCGGGACGGCGAGCACCAGGGCGGCCAGCCAGACCCCCAGCAGCAAGCGACGGGCCAGGGCCGGGCTGCGCAGTCGGGGAGCCAGGAAGGGCCGAGTGACAGCTAGGCAGCGCTGCAGGCTGAGCAGTCCGGTGAGCAGCACGCTGGCGTACATGCTGAGCGCGCACACGTAGTACACCGCCTTGCAGCCCACCTGGCCCAGGGGCCAGGCCCGGCCGCTCAGGAAAGCCACAAAGAGCGGGGTGAGCAGAAGCACCGCGCCGTCGGCCAGGGCCAGGTGCAGCACAAGTGTGGCCGCCAGCGGCCGCCCCGCGGTGGGCCGCCAGCCCGCCAAGCTCCACACCACGAAGCCGTTGCCCGGCAGTCCCAGCAACGCCGCCAGCAGCAGGAAGGCGGTGCCGGTGGCCCGCGAGGCCTTCCAACTCAGCAGCGTCTCATTCCCGGGCGGACGATAGCAGACCGACATCCTCCGAGAAGGGGGCTGCAAGAATCCACCGGGTGGAGCCTTCAAGATTGGGGCCAAGACCCACATCGCCGCTGATGCTGGATGAGAAGGGACTGCTGTGCCCACCCCACCACCCACCCCCCAGCTTCTCTGCAGCTTGCCTGTGTCTTCTCTCCAGGAACCCAATTGAAACAACTCCTTAGGACCCGTGGCCCCTGTTCCCAGTCAGCTGTCCCTCCCTGCTCTTGGCATGTTCCCAGAGGCCGCTGCTACTGAAGCACTGGTGTTCCCCAGTCCTCACGGCAGACGGTCTCCGCCTCCACATCTGACCTTCCGGCGCAGCCCCCTCTTTATCCAATCCCATTCTTTATGTCTCAGGGGGGGGAAAGTGGCCGGTGGGGAGTCAAGAGCAGATCTACTTACCTGGCTGGGAGAGAAGAGCGTTGGGGGTCGAGGGCGGTGTAGGGAGGCTGACAGGTGAAGCGGCGGGGGGATGAGGTATCTAATCCTGCCCCAAGCCTGTCACATTTGCAGAGGATGAGGCGTGAATGAAGAGGGACAAGATGGTGCTCATCCCCGGCCTTTCCTGGGCCCTCCTTCAGCCTGCTCCCTTCCCATCACTGACAGGCCCAGGCACGTGGAGGCCAGCCTCCCTAGGAAACAGGATAAGGCTGAGGAGGTGCAGGAAGGTGCTCGGGCCATGAGGAGAGAAGAGTTCTCTGCTGAAGGCTGCTGGCACATCTCCCCCACCGCTGGCCCCAGCCCTTCCAGCCCACCTCTGCCATGTTTATGTTCACTAGCCTCCTTGGCTCGCCCCCGCGGGGCCCGGCAGGCTGTCAATGGAGAAGGCTGCCCAAGCAACCTACTTTCCTAGCTGCTCTCTCTTGGCTGTTTTCAGCCTCCTGTCCCTTCTCTTCGGCTTCAGTCTCATTTTGAGTCTGTCCGGGTCCCTCTACCCTCCAGCTATGACCGAGTTGTCTGTGACAACTTTTTAGTGTAAGACATGACACCCAGTCCTGGGGGGGGGCTACACATGTAGGTATGAGGAGCTTGCAGTCTGTTTGGGGGTGATCATAGCACACGGGAGGGGGGGAGCATGTTGAGAGCAGGAAGAGGAGAGCCATTGGGTACATTTCATTTGTATTCCATCAGTAGCTGTCAGAACCCCAAGGCAGAAGACTGGGGGATGCTTCACTGCTGGAGCATTGTCCTTAGGCACTAATGCCCCTCCATCTGACCTTCATTAGTGCCTGAAAAGGCCCTGGCTGGGCCTCCAGCCTGCATGAGACATGAAGCCGGATAGGCCACAAAGCTGTCCAGGCACTTTGTGTTTCTCAGAACACAGGAAGCCGGGGGACCAGGAGAGTCTAGAAGACTCCCAGGCAGGAAAACAGGGACGGTGCCCACTTAAGGGCTTACTGCAGTGAACCTCAGTTACAACTGAAATCAGAGACGAAGCCTGGGACATCAAAACTAAAGCCCCTGGGCTGAGCAGAGCCTCAGCCGGCAAAGTCCTTGCCATCCAAGCACCAGGGCCTGAATTCAGTGTCCAGAAACCATGTTAAAGGGTTGCATGGTTTGGGGCTGGAGAGATGGCTCAGAGGTTAAGAGCACTGGCTGTTCCTCCAGAGGTCCTGAGTTCAATTCCCAGAAACCACATGGTGGCTCACAGTCATCTGTAATGTGATCTGGTGCCCTCTTCTGGCCTGCAGGGATACGTGCAGGCAGAACACTGTATACATAATAAGTAAGTTAAAAAAAAAAAAAAGCGGGTGTGTGTGTGTGTGTGTGTGTGCATGGTTTGTAATCCTAGTGCTGGAAGATGGAAACAGGTGGATCTCTAGGACTCACTGACCAGAGAGAGAGAAAGTTCTGATACTCTGATGACTGTAGCAGGGATCACAGGTGGAGAGGATCATAGGTGGAGAGGATCATAGTGGAGAGGATCACAAGTGGAGGGGATCATAGGTGGAGAGGATCATAGGTGGGGGATCATAGGTGGGGGATCATAGGTGGAGAGGATCATAGGTGGAGAGGATCATAGGTGGAGAGGATCATAGGTGGGGGATCATAGGTGGGGGATCATAGGTGGAGAGGATCATAGGTGGAGAGGATCATAGGTGGAGAGGATCATAGGTGGGGGATCATAGGTGGGGGATCATAGGTGGAGGTACATAATTAGCAAAACAAAAAAGATTAGAGCAGTGTCTGCTCATGGCCACTGAAGCAGGCATTTCTGGAAAAAAAACGTTTAGCTAATCCTTCTCCAACCAACAAGCCAGAGTACCAGAGTACCAGAGAGAATCCTGACCATGCTGGTTCTGTAGATCAGAATCCAGCCTCTCCTCACACCATTCCCAGACACACTGCCCCACCTTTCATTTTCTCTGGGTCCCTTGGAAGGGTCCCTGCTTCTCCCCCGGCTAAGCTTGCAGGCTTCCCCAGCTAGCCCAGCCTTTTCCAAAAGCTGCAGTTTGTAACTTTCCAGTAGGTGGCAGCAGTCAGCAGGGCTCACGTGGCGTGCCCTCTCTGACACTGGGCCAGAAACTGGACTAGCATTCAGGAGCTGAGATATGAAGTTCAGGAGTTCAAATGGCCAGTCTAGACTACAAAGTAAAACTGTATTTGGATAAGGGGGAGGGGAGAATCAAATATCAAATTCTATCCTTCACAACACATCTCTAAAGAGAGACGCAAACAAGGCACTTCCACCACCCCACACAGGCTCCTCCTCCTAGACTTTGTTCCTATTACTTATCAGGCAAGGGGGGCAGAGTCCAGGCTTGACTCACCTCTCACTTCATCAGGGCTAAGATCTCAGCTTTATACAGAAACAAGATTTCAGCCTCAGAACAACAGAGAGAGACGCACACAGCCCCAACGCCACAGGGAGGCAGCTCACTTACTCCATCCCTCCACCATGGAGTACCTTTCAGCCTTGAACCCCAGTGGACTGCTGAGGTGATTTCTAACCCCTCTTTATACTTCAATGCTGGGGATATGGGCAGACGAGGCAAACATCAGCCTCTAGAAGGCTCACTTCCTGCCTCGACAGACTTCTCCAACTCTTAACTCCTCTTTTGTTCTTCCCATAGTCTCTCCTTTAGATCTGTAAACCTAGAACCTCTTAGCCACCCCACCCCATCATTATCACTAATTTTACCAACCCCCTCCTCGCCCCTTCTGGTGTTTTCTCCCTAACTACCAGGTCAGTATCCACTGTGGGCTCTGAAATCGGCCGTAGGGTCTGGAACTCAGCTCCACCACCTCAGCGACCCTTCCGAGTCTGTGACCACAAGCGGACGGTCCGGAAAGGACTGACTGCTGCCACCCGCCAGGAGCTACTAGATAAGGTAAGTGGTCGGGTTCCCGGAGCAGGGAAGCCAAGGGACTCAAGTCAAGGACGGTGGGACGGCAGGGCAGAAAGTGTGCGTATTACACGGTTGTCATCCCTCGGGAAACAGTCGGTAAGAAGGGGTGGAGAGCCGGGTTCAGAAGTAATCACGGCATTTGTGTGTTTTCTTGTGCTAGGAATCAAAACTCCAAACAAGGGCTCTGCCACTGGTCTGGGTTCCCAGCCCTTCGTTTCTATGAAAAGCCAGTTTCAAATTCTGACTTTGCTACTTCCTAGCTGTCAAGCCTTGGGAAGTCATTCAACCTGTCAAAACCAGTTTTTTGTTCGTCTTTCTATTGAAACAGGCTCTCACTTTTTAGCCCAGGCTGACCTTGAACTCAGAATCTTCCTGCTTCAGCCTTCTAAGTATTAAGACTACAGACACATGCCACAAAACCTAACTTGAAAAATGCTTTCAGTGTCAGGCATCAAACCCAGGTCGTTGCACATACTAGGTAAACAATTTACTTCTAAAGCACACCCCAGCCTTCAGTTTCTTCATCTACACAAGGGAATAATAAGCTACCTTTTAGGGTTTCTGAAAGGAATAAAGGAAAAGTCCTTATAGATATTTTGACAGATATCGGAGAGGGATGCCTCTTGGCTCTGGTCTTCTTGAAGGTATGAATTCAGTCAAGAGACAATTTGAAGCCGGGCGGTGGTGGCGCACGCCTTTAATCCCAGCACTCGGGAGGCAGAGCCAGGCGGATCTCTGTGAGTTCGAGGCCAGCCTGGTCTACAGAGCGAGATCCAGGACAGGCACCACAACTACATGGAGAAACCCTGTCTCGAAAAACAAAACAAAAAAAAAAAAAAAACAAAAGAATATTATTCCAGTTTTCTCTTGACCCTATGATCTTTAAAAGTTGTGTTTATATAGTTTGCTTTTATATACAAGAACTATTCCTCTCCCACCTCATCCCAATCTAGCTAGTAAAGCTAGGCAGAATACCCCCAGAGACTGGAGTGGGCTGCCCACGGTGGGTGGAGAGATGGCTCAGCAGTTAAAAGCATGTAGTCCTTTTGCAGAGGACCAGAGTTGAGCTTCCAGCACCCACCTGGTGGCTCGCAAGCAATGTAACTCCAGCTCCAGAGGATCCAATGCCCCGTTCTGATCTCTGTGCACTCACATGCACATATCCACCCACCACACACACACAATTTTTAAAATATATAAAAATAATTTGTTAAAGGAAGGTGTGTCAACCCACACAGTAAGTGATATGAATATGAGGTTGTCCTTAGAAGATTCAGACCCTTTGTTAGTGTGCACATGCTGGTGGAAACCGTGGTACTCTAGTTCCTGATGTGGGGGAAACAACCTAAGTACGTCTTCAAAGATGTTTAACCACCATCACCAGAAGGCACCACTAAGATGTGGCTGTAGCTTTTTTTGGTGGTGGTGTTTTTGTTTTTCAAGACAAGGTTTCTCCATGTAGTTTTGGATCTCGCTCTGTAGCCCAGGCTGGCCTCGAACTCACAGAAATCCACCTGGCTCTGCCTCCCGAGTGCTGGGATTAAAGGCGTGTGCCACCACTGCCCGGTGGCTGTAGCTTTCTTTGGTTCCCTCATGTCCAGCTCCTTCTCTACAGGATGATCTAGAGTAACCTGATTCCTAGGATAGGTGGAGGCTTTCTCAGAAGCTAGCCTAAAACTGAGTCGGCTGCAGTCAGCGTTAGAATGAGTCAAAGGGAACAGCGCCAGTGTGTGCTCAAGAGGGCCTCAGAGGAGCGGCTCAGAGCCCTGCCCCTCCCGTCCCCTTGACTATATTATACCAGCTGAAGCCCTTTTATTTCTTATCACTATTACTAACTAGTTCAACCCTAACATTTCTTTTAACATTCACAAGTTTTCACTTGGCCTTAGAATGGTTAAACAATGCTAACATTGAAAACAGTTGTAGAGCAGGGTGGTGTTAGCACACACCTTTAATCCCAGCACGTGGGAGGCAAAGGCAGACGGATCTTGGTGAGTTCAAGGCCAGCCTGGTCTACATAGTGAGTTCCAAGACAGCAAGAGCTACACAGAGAAACTCTGTCCCAGAAAACTGAAAAACAAAAACAAAACAAACACTTTGTAGAGAACAGGAAGGATGACACGGGAGGACACTGTAGATAAAAGAACACAAGTAAGAGATTTCATCTGTTTAGATTTCATCTTCTTTTATCCATATTTGGAGTCATGGTCCAAATCTGTCGAAGTCTGGTATTAAACTTCTTGGCTCCAGTACCCTTCTCCCCCTCTCTGCCTCCTGAGCAGCTAAGATGGTGGGTATAACCACACCTGGCTATGACTGACTTGTCATTCAGTACCAGTGGGAGTGGCTTAGAGGGGAGCAAGGGTAGGTGAACAGAAGCAAAATGAAAAAAAAAAGGGTCTGCCTCTAGTGAAGGTCTATTAACAACTCAAAAAACCCAAACAAGAACTGCCATGTTTACAAAGGATGAGATGAAATGCTCACATCTACAATCCCAGGACCCAGGAGGCTAACACAGAATTGCTGAGTTTGGGAACATGCTGAACTCCACAAATACCGTCTCAAAAAAATACACAGGGAAGACGGCAAATCAGGAAGCAGAGCTGAGATACCAACCAGTGTCTAGGGCCAAAGGGCCAACTAAAGAGAGGAGGGGCAGAGGCTGACACCGCCCCTCTCCTCCTGCCACTGTCACTAACAGGTACTGGAGACCCTGCTCTTAAGCGGAGTGCTAACACTGGTACTGGAGGAGGATGGGACCGCCGTGGAGAATGAGGACTTCTTCCAGCTGCTCGAGGATGACACATGTCTGATGGTGCTAGAGCGAGGACAGAGCTGGAGTCCCAGGGTGAGGCCCACAGTGGGCTGCTGAGGTCACCAATCCTTTCTAGTTCTCCCAGTCCTCTTCCCTAGCCTATCACTGATCTTGGGGGCTGAGGTGCCGGGGAGGCAAAAGGGGCCTAATCCAGCACCGACAGGATTAGCAGATGTCAGGATATGAAGGAAGGCTCAATTCAATAATGGGGTGTCCCACAGAGTGGGATGTTGTCATACGGCCTAGGACGGGAGAAGCCAAAACACAGCAAGGACATCGCCCGAATCACCTTTGATGTGTACAAGCAAAATCCTCGAGACCTCTTCGGCAGCCTCAACGTCAAAGCTACCTTCTACGGGCTCTATTCCATGAGCTGTGATTTTCAAGGAGTTGGACCCAAAAAAGTGCTCAGGTCAGAAATCAACATGTCATACAACCCTATAGTTGGAGAGTCCCTCAAGTTCAATCAAGTGCCACCTCTTGTACCCCAGTATCCCATAAGTTCTCCTTTGTGAACCCCACCCCCACCCCAAGCTTTCAAACTCAAGGCCTCCCCTCAGCATCCCTTAACCATTTGGTTTCCTCTCACTCCTGCCCTTCAGGGAGCTCCTTCGCTGGACTTCCTCACTGCTGCAAGGCCTGGGTCATATGCTGCTGGGGATTTCATCTACCCTGCGCCACGTGGTGGAGGGCGCCGAGCGGTGGCAGTGGCACAAGCAGACTCACCTCCATTCATAATGAAAAAGGGACTGGAGCCGGTGCCCCGAGACTGCTCCCATGAGACACGTGAGAGCTATATGGCACCAACAGATTTGGGGTCTGCAGTGTACCTGACTCCATCGTAACAGAACCTTTCGGCACACTGCCTTGGTCCTGTAGCCTGCACATTCCTGAAGGATGCTGCCTATCTTACTCCATCTCCTGCCCTCTACTTATCCTGCAGAACCACAACCTTGTCCCCTGGCATGCCGATCCCACCGTAACTGCTGCTACATCCAGGTTCTCACTGATCCCTATCCCTAAGACCCTGCACACCAATGACAGTCCCCAGGTTCTCACTGATCCCTGTCCCTAAGACCCTGCACAC